GTAACTAAAATTATTAACATCTTTAATAAGAATACTTTCAACAATCAGAATTTTCGGTGATGGCCATTTAATAGTGTGACAAAACTATATTCCAGATACAAATTATCAATCTACTGAGCCTGAGATAATTTACATCTTTATGACTTTAAAATTGTCTGCATCAGTTAATCTGGCAGATAAAATAACCAAATCGCTAATTTTTATTATGTAACTATAATCTCTGTCCAAAGATTTTCAAAATAAATTGGAGCCTTTAAAAATAAATATGCAACTTCTATACATAAAACTTCAATTCTTTCTGAGTGGTAAAGAATACTCGTTACATTTAAAAAGTAAGTTTTCGGGGCGCCTGGGTGGCGCAGTCGGTTAAGCGTCCGACTTCAGCCAGGTCACGATCTCGCGGTCCGTGAGTTCGAGCCCCGCATCAGGCTCTGGGCTGATGGCTCAGAGCCTGGAGCCTGTTTCCGATTCTGTGTCTCCCTCTCTCTCTGCCCCTCCCCTGTTCATGCTCTGTCTCTCTCTGTCGCAAAAATAAATAAATGTTGAAAAAAAATTTAAAAAAAAAAAAAAAAAAAAAAAGTAAGTTTTCTCCAAAAAGCACTCATTAATAATTAATAACAATAAATCCTGAATAACATTTTTTTAAATCTAATTGACCTTAACAAGCATATATTACTTTCTGTATTTCTGAAATACTGTTCAGAATCCTTTCACGTAAGTTTCAACTTGACTACTCCTTGATACCATCTACTGAGCCTACCACTGCAGGCCTGGATATATTTATTATTTTAATATGAAGTAATTTTAAACTAATAGATACCTCTCTAACCATGCTAGTAAGACGGAAGCATGACCTACTGTGGAAAATTCAGTACTGGGAGACATGATATTGGAAATGAATTCTTGGCTTTGCCATGGACACATTATATGTCCCTAAATAGGTCACAATTTTCATATTCCATTTACTGCACTGTGCACAGTTCTTCTAAAGTGAACTACTTAGCAAAGCACCCTGCACACAACACACAATGAAACAGTAACTGACTGATTATTAGACTATATTTGAAGTTGGAGTAAGAAGACCTAGCATTTGGCTACATAAGACCTCAGTTTCCTTATCAATAATATGAGAAGACAGATCCATAGAAGACCTACATTTTAGGGTGGCTACTCATGAAGCAGACTGAGACGAAGACTAGTGAGCAGGAAGTTCACTGGGGGTGCTCCAGAGATGATCACCTGTGAGGGCAGGACAGAAAAAGAAGTGGGGCTCTGTAGTCACAAACAAGGACTTGGCTGACCCTGATGGGAGTTGGGGGGGGGGGGGGGGGGTAGCCACTCTGGACCAGAGATAGCATGGCAGAGTTGTTCTAAATTGGAATAGAATCTTTATAACCCCTCATTAGTCAGTCACTGGATGCAGGTTGCCCTGCACAATATGGGTAAGTTACTGCTGTACAGATGAGGTAAAGGCAATTGCCAGAGAGAGACACAGCTTTGAGCATTCAGTTACCAATGCTTGGCAGCTAGAGGGGTGAGTTTTCAGTCCTGTCATGGGGGATCTGCCAGTGAACCAGGGGCCACTACTACTACCAAGATCCCTTCCAGTTCTAGATTTTTTGGTGATGCTTTGGCTTTCAGAAACAAGCTCAAATCATCATCAAAACATCTGTGACAAAATAATATATACTGTAAGATTTCATTTAGATCAAGTTCAAGAACAGGTAGAACTAATCTATGTTGACAGAGGTCATAACAACTATTACCTCTGAGAAATACTAACTGGGACAGGCAATGAGAGAACCTTCAGGGGTGCTGATTATAGTATATATCTTGCCCTGGAGTATGTAAAGTACACACACACATACCTATGTGAGGGTTTCCCAAAGATTTACAAGAAAAGAGATTTATATAAAATGCTGTTAATATTCTATAAAATAAACACCTGACATTACAATGTGTAAACTGAATATAATTTTTAAAAAGTTTACAGTTTTAGGTTATGCTGATAGTTAGACAATTCCTTTACTTCTCTTGTAATTTTGGTATACAAATTACTTCAAGTATTTATACTCAAGGCATTAAAATGCATCAAAAATGAAACAAAAGACAAAATGACAAACTTGGATATCAAGTGGGCCTAAGTCATCAAAAAAAGAAACAAAATAGAGAACACCACTGGACACAGACTTGCAAAACTGCCATTTAAAATCAGAACTACAGTAAAGATTTGAGTAAATCATATGGCTTATTACCATGTATTTTAAAAGACTAAGTATAGTGCTGCCACCTAGTAGACAAAGCTGATAATAACCAATTTCAGTTGTAAAAAGTTATATATATCTTATAGGAAATACAGAAATGCCTTTTTTTCTGTTTATTCATTTGTGGGTTTTTTTATCCCTTAGATTCCACCTCTGAGTGAAAGGAGATAATGGCTTTCGATTATGGAATGATTAAGTCATGGGGAATAAAAGGCACAGCATAAGGAATATAGTCAATGATACTGTAATAGCAATATATTAAGACATGTTAGCTATAGTTGTAGTGAAGACAACATGATTTATAAACTTGTCAAATCACTATGCTGCATACCTGAAACTAATGTCATCAGCTATACTCAAATAAAAAAATCAATTAATTTTTAAAAACCCAGAAAAGCTGTATATTATTCAACAATACTCTGCCAAAATATACCTTAAAGACTACCACGTTTGGACAACAGCTAAAAAATCAAATAATTATGTTTTCAAATAAATTGTATGATTTCTAAAATAGCTACCAAAAGCTCAAACAATAGTATGTGCTAGTACTGGGAGTTTGAGAGGTTCCCCGATACAAATCTGACCCCATTCTAGAAACAAACACTTTCTACAAGATCCCAGGGCTATAGGTTCCCAGATACAGTCTCTAGGGAGGAAGAAGGGCAATGTCCAGTTAGTTGTACCCTCTAGTTGCTCTTCCCTAAAATATAGTTGGAGACTCAGTGAACTTAAATAAAGTGTTTTGGATAAAGGTTTTAAGCAGAATGCACGTAAGGAAGGACAAGGCCTTTTCTCCTCTACCAATGTGTGAACATCTAGATTCTAACACACAAGGGCCCCTAGTCTTACCCCTAGTCCTAGAAGAGTAAACTCTCCCACTTTAAACTCTACCTCGTCCTCTACCCACAATTTTTCTTTGTTAGTTAGGTATCACTTTACAGAGCCCCAAAGTCAAAGAGAAAAGTAGATACTGTGCTGGGACTCTTCATAAAAAAATGGAGAAAATCTACACTATGCCAGCACTCTAAGGGCAGAAGGAAAAAGGGAAGACCACAATAAGCATGGAGATTATATGACTGCCAGGGAGATGAGGCTGGCTACCTAACAGATGCCCAAAGAATGGATGACAAAAGAGCAACATTATCTCATATACATGACACTTTTCTGGGACAAGAGGTACAAAGTCCTATCATTTAATTGTACCTGAGCATTCTCACCCAAATAGAGTCTACAAGCCAAAGCACAAATGGAGGGATACACAGCCAGTGAGCACACATGGGAAACATACCATCACACTATAAAACAGAGCCTGACATACAGAGTAACAGTAGAGCACAAAGAACCTAGTACAGAGTAGTGTGATCAAATGTAAGTGAGACACATGGAAATGAACAGATCAAAGTTTTAGATAGGCTTTGCCACAAACTAGTTATGAAATCTAGTGCAGAGGCAGAGAAGTATAAATGGTACTACCCAAACAAGTTGCTCAGGCACTGAAATGAGGGGTTACCAACATTGAAAGCACCTAACCAGGATCAGGAGAGCAAAGTTCTGGGATCCAGTCTGCCCCTGATTAGCTAGGGTTTAGAACAAGTCAATTCACATCTCTAGCATCAATCTATCTGTATTTACTAGAGAGGTATTTCCAGAGTGGGTTCCACAGTACAATAACAACAAAACAGTGAAATGCTTACCAATAAAAGGATTTCATAGTCAAGTACGCATAGGGAAATGTAACTACTATAAAGCCACCACTCTTAGAGATTCACAATGAACTTTACTACAGTAAAATCTCTAAGAAGAGCTTATAATTAAGATAGCGGTTTAATTTTAATATTTTTTCAAAGTCAATGGGTCATTAAAGTACTTTTTCTATTTATAAACATTAACATTGTAGCACTTCCTGGGTGGCTCAGTCCGTTAAGCGTCTGACTCTGGATTTCAGCTCAGGTCACGATCTCACAGTTAGTGAATTCGAGCCCTGCTTAGGATTCTCTCTCTGCCCCTCGTCTACTCGCACATGTGCTCTCTCTCAAAATAAATAAACTTAAAACAAAATATTAACATTGCAAAACACACTTTGCCTTTCCTCAAAAGATCAGACAGAATTACCATGATACAGCAATTCCACTTCTAGATTTTTACTCAAAAGAAGTGAAAGCAGGGACTTCAACAGACATTTGCACACCCACATTCACAGTAGCATTATTCACAATGGCCAAAAGGTGGAAATAACCCAAATGTCCATCAACAAATAAAAGGATAAACAAAAACATGATTTAAACATACCACAGAGGATCATTCAACCTTAAGAAGGAATAAAATTCCAATACATGTTATAAGATGTAGAAGACATTTTGCTAAATGAAATAAGCCAGACACAAAAGGTTAAATATTATATGACTCCATTAGTCAAATTCATGGAGACAGAAAGTAGAATAGGGGTTACAAGGGATTGGAGGTGGAGAAGGATAATGGGGACTAACCATTAAATGGGCACAGAGTTTTAGTTTGGAGTGATGTCAAAGTTCTGGAAATGGATGGCAATGATGGCTACACATGCTTAAAATCACTGAACTGTACACTTAAACATGGCTTAAATGGTAAATTTTATGTTATGTATATTCTACTACAATAAAAAAAAAACTACACTCTGCCAAATCCTGGGTTAGTTTTCTCTTAATGCTACCATTCTGAGTGTGAAATCACTAAAAAAGTCAATATAAATTACCTTACCTCAGCTACACAACAAATTGACCCCAATGCTTCTCCACGAAAACCGTAAGTTGTCAAATTTTCAAGATCTTCATGACTATTTATTTTTGAAGTGTAGTATTTCATTGCCATTACAGGTGCATCAGTGGCCTTGATACCCTCACCATTGTCTCGCACCTCAATTTTATCAAATCCATAGTTCTCCTATAAAAAGTTAAAGAATACTTTTAGTACATACAGTAAACTGTTGTCACAGAAACAGAAAGCAACATAAGAGAAACAGTTGTGTCATTTATTTACCTTTTGTGGAATCTTAATATTAAGAAAGTAAGAGTTCAAATTGTTAACTCTATCAAATTCCTAACCATGGTACAATGGGGAAGCCCCTTGTTTTCCCTGAACTCAGATTCAATTGTAAAATAAAGAAGTCAGTTCCCTTGAAGTATTTCAGCACCATTGGATGTCTGTGTTTAAATTTACATTTAAACTTGACTAAGAAAATTCTACTAAATTATATATGCTTTTGCATATATAATCTCTCAAAAAAACAAAACTGAATACTATCACCTTCAAAAACAGCAGCTGATTCTACCCACCAAGAGTCTAGCAATTATCCTTATTCAGCCTTTTAATACTTTTCAATACTTTCTCCCTTTAACTATTTACTGCTTTCATAAGAATTTTAAATATTTAGTATAACTTTCTAAAGTTCTTTTTGCAAATAATCACTGAACAGAAAAATGCTGAGAAAATACATTAAATTTGGCAATCTCTGTGAGTTCTTTACTTGAAAAATGAGGAAAAAAACCCCAACTCAATTCATAGCTTAGTATTTGTAGGCTAATACTAAAAGTATGCATACATAACAAAAACAAAATCTAGGGACACCTGAGTGGCTCAGCTGGTTAAGTGTATGACTCTTGATCTCAGCTCAGGTCATGATCTCAGTTTGCAAGTTCGAGCCCCATGATGCGGCTCGGGATTCTGTCTCTCTCCCTTTCTCTGCCCCCCCCCCAAAATAAATTAAAATAAACATTTAAAAAAAGGTTCAGGGGCGCCTGGGTGGCGCAGTCGGTTAAGCGTCCGACTTCAGCCAGGTCACGATCTCGCGGTCCGTTGAGTTCGAGCCCCGTATCAGGCTCTGGGCTGATGGCTCAGAGCCTGGAGTCTGTTTCCGATTCTGTGTCTCCCTCTCTCTCTGCTCCTCCCCCGTTCATGCTCTGTCTCTCTCTGTCCCAAAAATAAATAAACGTTGAAAAAAAGGTTCAAAAACAAAATCTAAATCCCTATAGAGATCTTCCTGCAATTACAATCACTCTAGTATTTTAAAATAATACAGTTTTTTAATAACCTGAATTTAAGTAATACTGTGTAAGTACTTTTTAGGTAAATTAGATATGTAAGGTGTTGGAGGGAGACCCTTAAGAATTAGTTCCTCATCTCTCTCAATCCACAATTAACATCCTAGAAACAGTTTGGCTGCTTCATTTTATAGAAAAATCATTAACTACAGAAAACTAATCTTGCAATACAAATACAACTCCAGACACGTGAGTAAAATAATACAAAGATCTGTTTAAATTTTTAAAATAAGATCAACTTTAACTAATTATGAAAACATTCCTAGTCAGGATAGTTATTATTGTATGAAATCATAATAAAACAAGTCTTATCATGTACAGCAACACAGTCATTTATTTTCAAACTCTACAAAGCAGAAACTGGTAAATATCAAGATACTAAAATATACAGCCAGATAAAAATGTGTACTTTACTTTTATCAGAAGACTTCTGTGGGCTGCCTAACACTATTTTTAAAAACGTTCTTGGGGCGCCTGGGTGGCATTCGGTTATCCGACCAGCGGAGTCGCGATCTGTGACTGAGTTGAGCCCAGCATGGGCGTCTGGCTGAGGCTAGAACCTGGAGCCTTTCGATTCTGTGTCTCCCTCTCTCTCCCCTCCCCTTCATGCTCTGTCTCTCTTGTCCCAAGAATAAACGTTGAAAAAAAATTAAAAAAAAAAAAAAAAAAAAAAAACGTTCTTTTCTTCCAGAGAGCTTTAAGAACAAAGTATGTCTGCCTAAGATTCAGGAGTGAAATATGTCAAATATAATTATCTAATCCTATTTATTATCAATTGTATTCTAATCAGAATCAGTCACTATAGTATACAAAATACCTTAAAAAACATAAATTGCCTTTCTTTGAGTTTAATAAATATTTTCCATGTTTATAAAGGTTACAATACATTGACCCTTGAACACAAGAATTAGGGGTGCTGACTCCCACGTTGTCAAAAATCCATGTATAATTTTTGACTTCTCAAGAACTTAATAGCCTATTTTTTTTTTAATTTTTAATTCTAGCAGAGTTAACATAGCATTATATGTTCAAGTGTACAATATAGTGATTCAGTACTTTCATCTATTACTTGGTGCTCATCAAGACAAGTGTGCTGTTAATCCCCTTCACCTATTTCATCATAGGGTAGTTCTATTTTTAACTTTTTGATGAACCTCAATATTGTTTTCCACAGTGCCTGCACCAGTTTGCATTCCCACCAAGAGTGCAAGAGGGTTCCTTTTTCTCCACACCTTCAACACTTTGTTTCTTGTGTTGGTGATTTTAGCCATTCTAACAGGTGTGAGGTGATCTCTCATTGCAGTCTTGATTTGCGTTTCTCTGATGATGCTGAACATTTCATGTTTGTTAGTCATCTGTACTTCTTTGGGAAAATGTTCATGTATTCTATTTTTTAATTGGATTATTTGGGGTTTTGGTGTTGAGTTGTAGCAGTTCTCTATACATTTTGGATATGCCATTTGCAAATATCTTCACCCATTTGGTGGGTTGCCTTCTAGTTTTATTGTTTTCTTTGCTGTGCAGAAGCTTTTTATTGTGATGTTGTGCTAATAGCTTATTTTTGCTTTTACTTCACTGGTCTGATAAGACATATCTAGAAAAATGTTACAGCCAAAGTCTGACAAATTATGTCTGACTTTGTGTGCTCTTACAAGAGTTTATGGTTTCAGGTCTCACATTTAGATCTTTAATCCATTTTGAATTTATTTGGGTGTATGGTTTAAGAAAGTGGTGCAGTTTCTTTCGCATATAGCTGTCCAGTTTTCCCAGCACTATTTATTGAAGAGACTGTCTTTTTACCATTGCATTTTTCTTGCTTCCTTTGTGGAAGATTAATTGACCATAAAATTATGGGTTTACTTCTGGGTTTTCTGTTCTGTTTTATTGATCTATGTGTCTATTTTTGTACTGGTACCATAGTGTTTTGATTACTACAGCTTTGTAATATAACTTGGAAGTTTGGGATTGTGATCCTTCCAGTTTTGTATTTCTTTTTCAAGACTGCTTTGGCTATTCAGGATCTTTGTGATTCCATACAAATTTTAGGACTGTTTATTCCCGTTCTGTGAAAAATGGTGTTGTTATTTTGATGGGGATTGTATTAAATTTGTAGATTGCTTTGGGTAGCATGAATATTTTAACATTTGTTCTCCTAACCCATAAACATGGAATGTCTCTCCACTTCTTCATGTCTTCAATTTCTTCCAACAGAGTTTACAGTTTTCAGAGTATAGATCTTTCACTTCCTTGGTTAACTTTATTCTTAGGTACCTTATTATTTTAGGTGCAGTTGTAGATGGGATTTTTTGAAATTTCTCTTTCTGTTACTTCATTATTAGTATACAGAAGTGAAACAGATTTCTGTATGTTGATTTTGTATTGTGTGACTTTACTGAATTCATTTATGGTAGTTCTAGTTCTAGCAGTTTTTGGAGGAGTCTTTAGGGTTTTTTTTTTTTTTTTAAACGTTTATTATTTTTGGGACAGAGAGAGACAGAGCATGAACGGGGGAGGGGCAGAGAGAGAGGGAGACACAGAATCGGAAACAGGCTCCAGGCTCCGAGCCATCAGCCCAGAGCCTGACGCGGGGCTCGAACTCACGGAGTGCGAGATCGTGACCTGGCTGAAGTCGGACGCTTAACCGACTGCGCCACCCAGGCGCCCCTAGGGTTTTTAAAATATAGTATCATGTCATCTGCAAATTGTGAAAGTTTTATTTCCTCTTTACCAATTTGGATGCCTTTTATTATTTTCTGTTGTCTGACTACCTATTGTCTGATATCTAGGACTTCCAGCAACATGTGAATAAAGGTGGTGAGAGTGGACATCCTTGTCTTGTTCCTGACCTTAGGGGAAAAGCTCTCAGTTCTTCTCCATTACTATGTCAGTGGTATTATATTGAGTTATGTTCTGTCTAAACCTACTCTAATGATGGTTTGTTGTTGTTGTTGAAGGCTTTTATCATGAATGGATATTGTATTTTGTCAAATACTTTTCCTGCACCTATTGAAATAATACGGTTTTTATCCTCTCATTGATTTATCACATTGACTGATTCTCAAATATTGAAAAACCCTTGCAACCCAAGAATAAATCCCACTTGATCATGGTGAATAAATTTTTTAAATGTTGCCCCTCCCCTGCTCATACTCTCGGTCTCAAAAATAAATAAAACATTTAAAAAAATAAAAATAAAAAAGGGGGGGTGCGCCTGGGTGGCTCAGTCGGTTGGGCTTCCAACTTTGGCTCAGGTTATGATCTCGTGGTTTGTGACTTCAAGCCCCATGTTGGACTGTGTGCTGACGGCTCAGAGCCTGGAGCCTGCTTCAGATTCTGTGTGTCCTCTGTCTCTGCCCCTCCCCTGCTCATGCTCTGTCTCTCTCTGTCTCAAAAATAAATAAAACATTAAAAAAAAATTTTTTTTATGTTTATTTATTCTTGAGGTCAGGGAAGGGGCAGAGAGGGACAGAGGATCCAAAGTGGGCTCTGTGCTGACAGCAGATAGCCTGATGTGGTGCTTGAACTCACAAAGTGGAGATCATGACCTGAGCTGAAGTCAGATGCTTAACCAACTGAACTACCCAGGCATCTCCCATGGTGAATGATGTTTTTAAATGTACTGTTGGATTCTCTTTGCTAATAATTTGTTGAGGATTTTGGCATCTATGTTCATCAGAGATTTTGGATTGCAGTTCTCTTTAATTGTGATGTCTTTATCTGGCTTTGGTGACGGGGTAATGCTGACCTCATACAATAAATTTGGAAGTTTTCCTTCCTCTATTTTTGTGGAATAGTTTGAGAGTAGGTATTAACTCCTAAAATGTTTAGAAGAATTCCCCTGTA